TTTTAGTTATAGAAAATAATTTATTTGTTGTGCCTTTTAAAATGTTCTCTTCAGAAAAATGTATTAATTCTTCAGAAATGCCTGTATGTACTACTTTTACAAAAATTGTTGTAGATGATTCCAGTAAAATACCATTGCAAATCTCTTCATACATATATATTGAGATGAAATCAGATTAGTGAGAGCAATTTAAAAGTTAAATTAAAATTCTATTTAAATACAACACAGTAAAGAGAAAGGTTGAAATAATTGTTATAAAATTAAGAAAATTATTTGATTAAAAAATTTTGTTAGTATTGAATAAGTATTATGAATCATTAGAAGAAAGTCGGACTATTAGAACAGAATAAATTTCAAGAGTTCAAGTATAAAATTATTATCATTTTGGTCAAATAGAGTACATGCCAAAGATGTTATTTGAAAAACATAATTGAAATTAATTAAAAATCGGAAGTGATATACCTATATCAAACAAAAGCTAAAATGTCAGAGTTTTATTAAATAGTTATAATATGAGGTAGAATAATAAGTAGTAAAATATATTAAGGTCTAAAGAAAAATTTGTATATCAATAAGATGAATATGTCAAAATTAAAGTTGGATCAAAATCGGAAGTGATATACCTATATCAAACAAAAGCTAAAATGTCAGAGTTTTATTAAATAGTTATAATATGAGGTAGAATAATAAGTAATAAAAGATATTAAGGTCTAAAGAAAAATTTGTATATCAATAAGATGAATATGTCAAAATTAAAGTTGGATCCACAAGGCATAAAATAGTACATATAAAATATTTTGAAATATAATTTAAAATTTTTTAAAGAAACTAGAATATGTTGTAAATTTGTAAAGGATAAAGTAAAGTGAAAAAGGAAAACGGCAGTTAAAAAAGCAAAGACATATATGTGAAAAGGCCCTAACAAGGGTGAAGAAAATCAAGATAGTAAACAAGAAAAAAATATAATGATTGTTGATTAGTTACCAGAAAAATTTGTAAAGAGATAGGTGTTGCTGAAATTGATTAAAAAAAACATAGAAAATAGAAGCAGTTATCGAGAGAGAGTGTATCAAAAAAGCAAATTGGGAGAAACCAAATACATAAAAGTAAAAAGTTCTGGAAAAGTGACTCAAGAAAATACAGTAAGAGCGGAATACCAACAAGTAGGTTCCAGGAAGCCAGTAAGAGCGGAATACCAACAAGCAGGTTCCAGGAAGCCAGAGAGAGAAAGTGGAATAGCAGCAGCAGGTTCCAGGAATCCAGGGAAAAAGCGGAATAGCAGCAGCAGGTTCCAGGAATCCAGAAAGAAAGCGGAATAGCAGGCAGGTTCCAGAAATCCAGCGAGAGAGGAGAGACAAGGATTCAAGAACAGCATTTAAGCAGAGTAAAAGCGGGAAGCCAGTCGACAAGTAATCAAACAATAAGACGTACAAAAAGGTACCTTCCTTTTCGTTGACGTTTTGTGCACAAATTAAATTAAAATTCGTATACGAAATAGCTAGCCACATAGATTCAAAAGTACAAATAAAAAGGGTAGAATACGAAAATTTCAGATAGTAAAAAAATTTTTCATATTAAACAAATTTAATTTAACAATATAAATCACCATTAAAATTGGCCAATTGTTTTAAATTTATAGACATTAATATTAGAAATAAGTAACAACATATTGAACAAGAAGTTATACGATAAAAATTTATATTTCTTATTGCAGGCAACCAATAATACATAAAAATAAGTAAAGTAACCACATCTAGACAAACTCTTGTTCAAAGTGTTCCAAATATTGTAGAAGAATTCAAAATATTTTGCAACTGTATTTGACATTCCTTATTTGAATTTTATTGCTTTAGAAAACAAAATAATAATAAATTAATTTATTAATAACATCTTTTGTTTAGTGTGGTGAGTTGTGTGTGGTTTCATGCTGAGTAATACCTTCATTTGAACCTACTACTGAGAAGGGTCGAGAGCTAGAGAGGGCAAAGTTAGACAACCAACATTACAACAAAACCGTTATACAAACAAATTACATATCACTATAAAAAATANAGGGGTGGTTATTTCAACCCCTTTCGAGGGGTTAAAATTTTCGAAAAATAGTTGAAAACTCGCATCTGTATTAGTAAACAACCTGTAAAAAATTTGTTATTTGTACCTCGTTCGGTTTTCAAATTACAGCCAATTTTCATATTTTTTTTGGAAACGGATGGCCCATATCTCTTCAGGGGTGAACATTTTACTAAGGCGATTTTTTGCAGATCGTGTTCTTTTGAAATGTAGATTCACTGGTATCATTTATGCTACTCCATTCAAAAACATCCTGTATATGAAAGATTTGTTTAAAAATTTTTATTTTGATGAGATCGTTAAATAAATGAAAGAAGATATTTGGCCACACAATAAAACTTATGACAATTTTTTATGTAAATATATTACAATTGGTTTTAATTTTCTAATTGTGAAATTGAAAACTTTTAAAATGTTTTAAATTTCGGATAATTTCGTTAAATTTCTTGAAAAATATTCTGATGAAATTATTGGAATCAAGTTTGAAAAGAGGTCTAAGGCCCACAAAAAATCCGAAATATACTACAATCCAAAAATAATTCGTCGTCTATTAATAAAATATTTCGCAACGTGGGATATCGGCATTCGCGTCTGGCTATGGATGCCCATAACGTCTCGTACGGCGTCATCGGCAATAACGTGAGAGTTGGAGGTGTCAACCGCGCTGTAGCTAGTCGTGAGAGGAGTTCAGTTCTACATCTTCTTTTGGATCATCAGTTAGTGTTCGTGTAAGTCTTTGTGTTAGTCTGTGTTAATCTTTGTGGCAGTCATTGTGTTACACTTCGTGAACGTGTTTCTTGGAGATTTGGAAAAATAAAATGGGTAGGAGCTCAACTGCATAAAAAAAGGTGACAACGTGACGTAAATCAACTTCAGGCAAACCGATGCCGGTATTGAGGACCACGTCAACTGCGCCTCTGAGAAATGATACCATCCTTACATAATTACAACACAATCCACATCCTTCATTATCCAATCACTAATCTTATTAAGTGCCACACAAATATCCACCGGCCGAGACTGTGCAGGTGTATTTGCCAAACCATTTCGGATTATTTTTAATTTAATCTTAAAAACGGTAACATTCTCTGACGTTTGGAAAGTGTCGAGAATACGATCTATTCTTAAAAATAGTGTTAAAAGTGATGTGATATGTCCAACTACCATCGTGCTATTACAATTAGATGCAAATTCAGTATTAGAGATCCTCATTATACATAATTCGAATTCAACTGCCAGTTGACGAGTTTGCCTATGGATCCGACAGTCCAATACAGCCCACTAACTTCAACTCACAGCCAAGACAGTCCATTCAACGATACAGTCGAGAATATATTCCAAGTCCTGGTTCTAATCATGCAGTAGTAATTCATCAAACTCTAGTGCACCTTCTGTAAAGTCGCAAGATGTGTATGAACATCTGCGCAGTTTATCAAACAAAACTGTTTAATAAGTCAAACCATTAAAATAGATTCAAACAAAAAGAAATCATCTGCTAGTTTAAACCCCAAATAATAGATACCTCTGTGTGTACTATTTTGTAGCCACGAAGTGGACAGCTAAGTAAAAAAAAAAACAAAAAAAACAGACGTGTGAGTGATAGAATTCGAATGGACAAAGCATAATTGAAAACTTTACTGGGAGAATTAGGATTTAAATATAAGAAGGAAGATAATCTTCGATCATTAATCGCTGCTAAGAGAGGTACATTTCTACGGTTATATTGAGAAAATAAAGTCTCAGATTTCCAAGAGACTTCGTATTCTTAGATGAAATTTCGGTCTACAGCAAAGGATATAAAAAAAAGTCTTGGCAGGATGATAAAAAGAGTGCGAAAAAGAGACGGCTATGACGATAAACGTGTGGTCGTTGTGAATGTTGTAAATTGTAGTGAACAGTGAACTCTTAAGCAAACACAGTTCACTGGTAAAATGTCGCCGCCTAAAGGTCTGTTTACATTATCCGGTCAGACACGATGCGGAAACGTTGCGTGTCCAGCAAGACAAACTTTCTTATATGCATTTCTTATACAAGCATTTATATTTAGCGAATCGGTTCCGTTCAGGCACGTTGCGCGTCATACACGTACCGTCCGTCATTGTTGAGAAGAATGTTTGTCTGCCACTATACGCGTCTGAACCTGTCAGATCCTGTCTGAAACGACACGATCCGAATAATATACATTAAATTCAGATAGTATTTAGGGTAGCTTACGTTTAGTGTCAATTTGTATCAGCGAAAAATCACTGTGTTGTTGCAATCTATATGTCTGAAGACGAGTGATATAGTACGGAGAGTATAAACATCTCCCGTCTTTGTCGGAACATTAACGCTACGTTTCCGCGCCCTGTCTGAGCTGATAAATATAAATAGACCTTTTACTCGGTCTAGCGAACGAGTGGGAAGAGCAAGGAAGATTTACTAAATAAAAAATTAAATCTCGGGTTGAAATAATGTTAATTTCGTTAATACAATAGCTTCAATTCTCATGAATTTACGCGCTACCCCAAATTAAAAAAATAATCATCTCGATAGGCTCATTATTAACCCAGACATGGCAAATTTTTCCCGCTCCATCGATTTGAAGCCGCTCGATCATTTTCCTGCGCGCATGCTTCCTCGCTCACCCCACTCGTTCGCTAGACCAAGTAATAGAACGCATCGCCGCTATCTTCTTTTTCGCAATTAAATAGTTTAATTCACCTTAATGTTAATGTAAAGACATGAAAATATAGCTCTTAATGTATACTCTCTTCAAATGTCGGCTCTTAATATTAATAATTAAGGTCACTGCGATTAAATAAAAAAAAATATATCAGCTTCTAATCAACTTAGAAAAACGACTTTTTTTTAATTCGAAGAAAAGTAATACTAACTAAACTAGTATAGAGGTTACTACTTTATTTTATAATAATTACCTATCTTAACAATTTAATAAATATTNTCTTCTGAATATGTTAAACAAAGTTCATTTTGAATTAATGCCGAGGCTCCAGTAATATGTCTATTTAAAATCCACTGCCTAGTCCACCATCTCCTCTTCTTTCTTGTTTTCGTTCTTTTATTTCTCAACATACAATTTTTTATAATTTCGGCGGCTATTATTTCGCACGTTGCGACTGTAGCTTCCAGCACAAATGAAGCCATTTGCATGACTGAACAGAAAACTCCAGTGGCCAGTGTAAACACTACACGATGCCTTCACGAAACGATCGCAAGCAAGCGTATTTCACGAATTATTATAAGCGTGAGCCACGTTCGTGGTTCACTACCAGTGTCAACTCCGCTTTAGAGGTGTCAACCGTGCTGTAGCTAGTCGTGAGAGGAGTTCAGTTCTACATATTCTTTTAGATCATCAGTTAGTGTTCGTGTAAGTCTTTGTGTTAGTCTGTGTTAATTTTTGTGGCAGTCATTCTGTTACACTTCGTGAACGTGTTTCTTGAAGATTTGGAAAAATAAAATGGGTAGGAGCTCAACTGCATAAAAAAGGTGACAACGTGACGTAAATCAACTTCAGGCAAACCGATGCCGGTATTGAGGATCGTCGAAATATTCAGAATTATTATACTTCGTTTCGAAGAGCAATAAAGAAACGAAAAGATACACGAAGTGGTCAGGCAGCTATTAAAACAAAAAAATGGAAATTTGAGGATGAAATGTCTTTTTTGCTTCCATACATTAAAGAACGAGAGGAAAACATAATGTCATAAAATCAGTTAATGTGGACTCAGACAAAGATTCTGATAGTGATGATGAAGAAGCACCAAATTCATTACTTTCGCACGACGTAAATAATTGTGAATCTCCTACTCCGCAAAAACCTAATGAAGAACAATCACCATCAGTGCGAAAACAGACATCCGTATCTTCAAAACAAACTGGCTATTTTAAGAGAAAAATAAATCAGTCAGAAACAGCTTCGAGCACATTAATGAAGTATATTTTACAGAATAAAAAAGAAAACGTAGACCCTGAAGCAAAAATAACAAGTGACATTGATTTATTCTTCAAAAGTATATCAGCTACTGTCAAAAAACTGTCCCCGTATAATCAAGCTTTAGCAAAGGCACGAGTAATTTCAATAGTATCACAATTAGAAATGGAAGAATTGTCGTGCAGAGGATTACAACCGATTTCTTCAGCTTCTCGCCCAGTTTCCACACTTTCTTCATATTCTGATGATTCTATCCTGCAGTCACCTTCTCAATTACAGCATATCAATACAAATCATTTTAATATCAGGCGTAATGACACCATACCTAATGAATAAAATAAACCAGAGGCGGATTATCCGTAAGGCAAACTAGGCACGTGCCTAGGGGCGTGTAGTTACAAGGGGCGCGCCAGCTCAGAATTTTTAAATAAATAAAGAAAATAACATATCGACGATTAAGAACTAAATGCTGATCTATAATCTAAATCTATAATAGATTATATTGCACAAGCATCGATATACTCGTATTATGCAATATTGCGCGTTTGTTGCGTCGTCGCGTCGTTCTCGAGCGTCGGGCTGGGTAGAGGCGCGGCTAGCGCGGGGGCGGCAACTAAGCTTTGTTGTCGTCAGTCAGTTACGCGCGCTTCTATTGTTTACGTTCTCGCTGTGGTATTTGTGTGTATCCATTACCTTTTAGAGTATTTCTCAAAGAATGAGTGAATTGAAAAAAAAACCTAGTGGTGCATCATATAAAAGGAAGGCTAAAGAAAAAGAAGAAAGATTTCAAAATGTAATAAAGCACACGAAAAATATTGAGACATTTTTTTCAAAACCAAAAAGTGATGATTCGGAATTGTCTAACGCAATTATTATTCACAGTGTGTCTGCTACCGACCCTGTTCAATGCGAAACTCCTACTAGTTCTATACAGCCACAAGATTTGTTCGTGCCCACGCCGTCTACTTCGTCAGCAGTAGATGTTGTGCAGCAGTCGCAAAATACAATAATTATCGTGGATTGTGACCCAGCCAAGTGGAGTATCAATAACGAAACACAAGAATATATTGCACTAAATGGTTTCAATCAAAATATAAACGTAGATTTTTCATTGAGTAAGAGAATATATGAAGATAAAGTCTCACGTTTTTTGACAAAAACAATGTTTGAACGGAAATTGTTAAATAGAGAAAAACGTCCAAGAAAATGGCTTATTTACTCTCCAAGCACAGGAAAAGTTTTTTGTGGACCTTGTTTATTATTCGGTGGTGGAACTAGCTTTGGAAAGCAAGATGTAGGTTTCAATGATTGGAAGAACGCGTCGATTAGATTAGAAAGCCACGAAAACTCATGTGAACATAAAACATGTGTTTTGGCTTTGCAACGTAGATCTGACATTGTCGGTCGTGTCGATCATGAGCTCGTCGCTCAATTTCAAGAAGAGCTAACTTATTGGCGTGAAGTTTTGAAACGAGTGGTTGCGACTGTAAAGTCTTTAGCATCACGTGGATTATCTTTTAGGGGACATGAAGAAAAACTTGGGTCTCTTCATAACGGAAATTATTTAATGACGCTGGAACTCATAGCGGAGTTTGATCCGTTTTTAAGTAAACATATTGCTCAATATGGCGGCAAGGGAAAAGGATGTACCAATTACTTGAGTTCTACAATATGTGACGAATTTATTGAGTTGATGGCAAACAAAATTTTAACACAAATAAAAGATGAAATCAAGATATCAAAATATTATTCAATGATAGTGGATTCAACACCAGATATTTCCCACATTGACCAATTAACTCTCGTGATCCGGTATGTTAAAGCCGATGGTACGCCCGTTGAACGTTTTCTGAAGTTTATCGCACACGTCGGCCACAAATCACAAGACATGGCAGATGCTATAATTAAAACATTAGACATGTTTGAAATTAATATATTAGACTGTAGAGGCCAGTCGTATGATAACGCTGCAAATATGTCTGGCATATACAATGGATTACAGGCGAAAATAAAAGAACTATGTCCCCTAGCAGATTATATACCCTGCTCCGCACATTCACTGAACCTAGTGGGTGAATGTGCCGCTGAATGCGTTCAAGAAGCTTGTTGGTTCTTTGGTCTCCTTCAAGAAATTTACACATTTTTTACAGCTTCAACTCAAAGATGGGAAACTCTACAACCACAAATACGTCTAGGTAATGATAAGAAAAATAAACCTACTGTCAAAAATCCATCTGACACACGCTGGTCAGCTCGAGCAGATGCTTGTAAAAGCTTAAAAGAGTCATTTTCAGAAATTCACGATGCTTTGATTGCTATCGAAAGCAATCCTGCGCAAAAACGTTCTACTGTATGTGAAGCTAAAGGTATAAGGTTCAAATTAGAACGGCTAGAAACTGCCTTCATGACCGTGTTTTGGAGTTTTATTTTGGTTCACATGAACAAAAGCAACAAAAAATTGCAATCCGTTGATATTGATATTTGTACTGTTGTTCAATTGTATGACAGTATAATTCACATAATTTCTACAGAAAGGGGAAATTTTGATAAATATGAACAGCAAGCCTTGGAACTGTCATTAGTAAAAGAATATGAAAAGGACACAAAGAGGATACGGAAGAGAAAGCTCACAGCAGATGAATCTGCTGAAGATATAACTTCTTCATTATCGGGTCGGGAAACATTCCGAGTAACAGTATATCTAGGAATTATAGACCGAATTGTCGTTGAACTTGAAAAGAGACGAAAAGCGTACAATAATTTTTGCAATAAATTTTCATTTTTATGCAATTTGACAAATTTAAACACCGAAGAAGTTCAAAATAGAGCAAGTACGTTGGTAACAATGTATTTTAATGATTTAGAAAAATGCTTTGTTGACGAATGTATCCATCTACGTTCTTATTTAACAACGATAGCTCGAGACGGAGAACTGCCCCGAACAACGAACGCGGTATTACAGCTTCTGAGAAATAAAGAGCTTGAAACAATTTACCCCAACATTGACATAGCCTTAAGAATGTGCGTATCGACGGCAGTCAGTAATTGCATTGGGGAGCGGAGTTTTTCCTGCCTAAAGAGAGTGAAAAACTATCTTCGCTCAACGATGACAGATAAGATATTAAATTCGTTAGCAATACTAAACATTGAATCTACCTTATTGATGTCTTTAAACTACGACGATGTTATTGACAATTTCGCGAAACAAAAATGTAGACGCAGAAATTTTTAATTTTTTAAATTGTGTTTGTTGTTATTCTCTTACTACTTACTTATAATTTTTTCAATAAATAATTCAAAACTTATTTTTTTAATTTATTAATAATAATAAATTATTTNTAACAAGGCTTTAATATGTTTTAAAGAGTTTTCCCAACTTTCCAATTAGAATAAGTATTTAGTCTAATACACACAACCTGTTAATTATTTCATTACACTTTAATATATCTGTTACATTACATACAAATTTTTTAGTTATTTAATATATTAAGCAGTTCGTAACTGATGAAACTAATTGATTTTGTGACTTACCTCTATCCATTCTTGCAGGCAGGTATATATGTTATTCAAGACGTCTGGCAAAAATTTACTTATTGTGCTTTTTGGAACTTTAAACAAAAATTCCAGGCTTTTGAAGCTGTCGCCGGTAGCCAAATAGCGAAGAGTTACGAGCCCTAACAACTTAATGTTCGGACAAAATGTAGTTTAAAAATAATAATTAAAATACGTATTTTTATTTTATATAGTGAAACCACTTATGATCAGTATAATTGGTAATTATCTTTCAAAATATGTGAATTATGTGGCAATATGCTACAAAAGAAGTGTTCTTCATCGTCTTGTAAGTTAACACCAACAAAAATACCAATTTATTCTGACAACTTAATGTTCGGACATTTAAAGTTGACGGACGTTTAGGAATGTATAAAAACGATATGTTGTGTTATTTTGCTAAGTAGGTGGTGCTTAAACGTAAAAACAAGTAACGCATATTGTTATTCATCTTATTGCTGTCGACGACAATGGNCCACCTTCATCAGATACGAATGCATCTACATCTTTTACGGCTAGCCCTCTACCCAGCTGTTCACGGTCTATGTAAGATTTTGACTATTTATTAACAAGGCTTTAATATGTTTTAAAGAGTTTTCCCAACTTTCCAATTAGAATAAGTATTTAGTTTAATACACACAACCTGTTAATCATTTCATTACACTTTAATATATCTGTTACATTACATACAAATTTTTTAGTTATTTAATATATTACGCAGTTCGTTACTGATGAAACTAATTGATTTTGTGACTTACCTCTATCCATTCTTGCAGACAGGTATATATGTTATCCAAGACGTCTGGCAAAAATTTACTTATTGTGCTTTTTGGAACTTTAAACAAAAATTCCAGGCTTTTGAAGCTGTCGCCGGTAGCCAAATAGCGAAGAGTTATTTCAAGTTTCGTTTGGGCAGGAATAGCTTCTCTTAGATGGGTGTCGGATTTTTGTATGCGATTAGATATACGTTCCAAGAGATAATTAAAATGGTCCTCGGACATCCGTAATAAATTTTTAAAATCTTCTGAATATGTTAAACAAAGTTCATTTTGAATTAATGCCGAGGCTCCAGTAATATGTCTATTTAAAATCCACTGCCTAGTCCACCATCTCCTCTTCTTTCTTGTTTTCGTTCTTTTATTTCTCAACATACAATTTTTTATAATTTCGGCGGCTATTATTTCGCACGTTGCGACTGTAGCTTCCAGCACAAATGAAGCCATTTGCATGACTGAACAGAAAACTCCAGTGGCCAGTGTAAACACTACACGATGCCTTCACGAAACGATCGCAAGCAAGCGTATTTCACGAATTATTATAAGCGTGAGCCACGTTCGTGGTTCACTACCAGTGTCAACTCCGCTTTAGAGGTGTCAACCGTGCTGTAGCTAGTCGTGAGAGGAGTTCAGTTCTACATATTCTTTTAGATCATCAGTTAGTGTTCGTGTAAGTCTTTGTGTTAGTCTGTGTTAATTTTTGTGGCAGTCATTCTGTTACACTTCGTGAACGTGTTTCTTGAAGATTTGGAAAAATAAAATGGGTAGGAGCTCAACTGCATAAAAAAGGTGACAACGTGACGTAAATCAACTTCAGGCAAACCGATGCCGGTATTGAGGATCGTCGAAATATTCAGAATTATTATACTTCGTTTCGAAGAGCAATAAAGAAACGAAAAGATACACGAAGTGGTCAGGCAGCTATTAAAACAAAAAAATGGAAATTTGAGGATGAAATGTCTTTTTTGCTTCCATACATTAAAGAACGAGAGGAAAACATAATGTCATAAAATCAGTTAATGTGGACTTAGACAAAGATTCTGATAGTGATGATGAAGAAGCACCAAATTCTTTACTTTCGCACGACGTAAATAATTGTGAATCTCCTACTCCGCAAAAACCTGATGAAGAACAATCATCATCAGTGCGAAAACAGACATCCGTATCTTCAAAACAAACTGGCTATTTTAAGAGAAAAATAAATCAGTCAGAAACAGCTTCGAGCACATTAATGAAGTATATTTTACAGAATAAAAAAGAAAACGTAGACCCTGAAGCAAAAATAACAAGTGACATTGATTTATTCTTCAAAAGTATATTAGCTACTGTCAAAAAACTGTCCCCGTATAATCAAGCTTTAGCAAAGGCACCAGTAATTTCAATAGTATCACAATTAGAAATGGAAGAATTGTCGTGCAGAGAATTACAACCGATTTCTTCAGCTTCTCGCCCAGTTTCCACACTTTCTTCATATTCTGATGAATCTATCCTGCAGTCACCTTCTCAATTACAGCATATCAATACAAATAATTTTAATATCAGGCATAATGACACCATACCTAATGAATAAAATAAACCGTATATTTTTGATACTAAAACCATTAATCTTTTAAGGCAAAATGTCAAAAAGAAAACCTGTTTTAATTACAGCTGGATGGATGAAAAGATTGCGTCATCATCGTGGTGTAAATATTTGAAACCTGTTGAAGGTAACAAAAATCAAGGATATTGTAAACTTGTGTGAAATATTTCTAGTTAAGTAATATGGGTCGTCAAGCAGTTGTGAGCCGTTTTAAAAGAATGCACATCTTTGTTTGCTGTCCAAATTAGTACTTACTTCTTTCTGGGGTAAGTTTGTACAAAAGAAAATCAAGCTAAAACAACAATAATTAACACGGCTCAAGAATTCTTCGATATATTGACAATCCGTTCTATGGAGATAGACCCTTCCCGTAAACGAGTACACCCTAATAATTAATTTGGGATTCAACCGTGAAGCCTGTGATCTTTCGCTACTGTTCGTGTTTACAGCATATATTATAATACAGGAAAGACTAAAACTATACAGTTACTTGGAGCAGTTAGGAAAAAGGGTATTATATTATGATATGGACTCGATCATCTTTTACGTTAATGTCCATGCAAGTATTTAACAGAAGAAGAGCTGGTGAGTTAAAACGTATTATTGATACATAAATCAATGAATTTCAGTCATATCAGTCAATTTGTCATAATGATTATGATTTGTACAATTCTCTTTCCACGAGGACAAGCCGCCAAAAAATATGTGAGATTGAGCTGTTTTATGAGGAGGATGCCGACATCATGCAAGTGGAAACAGTTTTGGACTGACCAACAAATTAGAGGCGTGGTTTTTTCTTAATATAACTTAATATTTATGAGGATTTGCTAACCGTTGAAGGAGAACGATGTTCCGATTTTAAGACGGCTTGTTTCAGAAGAGGACTACTGGCCTATCCTTAGAAGTATCATAGTCGCATGGCAGAGACGGCTGTAAAAGATCATCTCTACAGATTGAGACATTTATTTGCATTTATATGTTCATTGGCCGCCAATGCAGAACATATATTGAATTTGTGGAAAGAACTTAAAATGGAAATGATAAGAGGATTCCTTAAAAAAGGGTTATCGCCGCATAGATGCTGCCAGGGCGGCGATACAACAAATTAGTGCCGTAATTCTAAGGAATTAGAATGTAGACGACGTGACACGATTGGGTATTGTGGTATACGATGACCATGTCGATGACGAATATTTTTCGATTACTTGAATGGGGTTCTGAACGTATACAGGAGTTTTTGATGTTGACTCTAACGGAGGAATAACGTCGTTTTGAAGTTATCATGAGGCGAATTACCTTTAAAACAGACGCCGATGGTGGAAATATGTTTTATGTCGATTGTCCTGGTGGCATTGGGACAACTTAGTGCGTAAAACTGTGGCCG